CCGTCGGGAGGGACGGTGGCGGGAACTTCAGAGGAAGTGTCTGAGCCTGGGCTTTCCTCTAGGCCTCTGCCGCTCGTCTCCTGCCCGTTTACAACTGACCGAGGCGTTCCTTGGAGCTGCCCGTAGTAGGCTGTGCTCCATGCCCTTCTCCAGGTTGCTGACTGGATCTCTTTAGTCAGTCTGGCCTCATCCGAGATACAGAATCAGACCCCTCGATGGCAACCGCTGTGGCAGGCAGCAGTGCCCCTCACAGGGGCTCACCACAAGGCGGTATGCCTTTCCTTCCAGTTGTGCACAGCTGGATGTGATCTGCTTTTCACTCCCTGGATTTAAATTAGAGTTAATCTTGGACAATCGGGATGAGAAGAATTACGGGTGGTCTAATGCAAAATTCTCAGTTCCTTTCTCTCACCTAAATGCCAGTTAGACTACAGGATAAATTCAGGATGAGCACTGCTATCTTTCACATTGAAAAATAATATTAAACATAGCCTTTCTATACTCAATAAAAATTTGCTGTCATTGCCTTAGCTTTCACGTGCTACTATGTGTTTACTGTGCTGTTTTCTCTTCAGCCTGTCCTGTGCACTGCTGATCTTAAATTAATGAACTCCAGCCCCCCCCCTTTTTTTTTTAAAGTTGTTATTCTGTATCAAGATACCTAAACAGCATTTGGATCAACCTATTAAATGTATAATCTAAAACTTATTTTTAAAAAGTCCAATTTTCAGTACTAAATACTACTGGTTTAGTATGAACTTTATACTGTTCTCCTAGAATAATGGCACGAGATGGTGTGATAATCTTAAGGAGCTTAACCTACTGATCCTCACTTCTTCTAGGTAGTAACTTAGACTCAGATGCTGACAAAAGAGGTCCTTAATTGTCCTGGATGAGTAGCGTGCAATACTGGCAGTGGCTAGTACTAAATGCTTAAAAGGTAAACAAAACCTCTGCTACAGTACCTGGCCAATTGTGCCGTGCTGTACAGAGGAGTAAAATCCCTTCCCAAGCCCTGTTCATTACGTTACTTAACCCCCCCCAAACCTGCATTGATGGTAAACATGATAAGCAAGAAGAATTCATTAATGAGGAAAGAGAGTTGCAATCCGAAAGCAGCCAAGTTCTGTTAAAGTGCTAAGTTTTTTTCTATGCTGCATCAAGAAACAAAAATGTAGACCTTCGGATTTTGCAGAGCATAGTAATAAAGTAAATGTAATAGGGTCAGGTTTGTGCTTTTGCATAGACAATCAGGGCATTGCTCATAAGGGGAAAAAAAATATGAAATATACCATGTAAGTTTTTAAGGTACAGTGTTGAAGCAACAGTTTAGTGGAAAAAAAAAAAGTTAGCCATAGTTTTCCATAATGGTGATCTCTTTTGCCTCTTGTTTAAAAAACCAAAATTCTGTCTTTTGAGATTAGTTCCATATATGTATTTATACATGGTTTTTTTAATCAAAAAGAGAAAGTGAAAAGCTGGCCCAGGAAGAGCTAATGTGTGCTAATTTGTAGTTTCAACTTTCAAACACCTGTGGTAGAGAGAGTGAGTTAGAAAAAACTGCATTATAAGAAATGTTTGATTTTAGCACGTTATTTTAAGAAGCAAAATGCCATATTTGAATTTTTTTGCCTGTAATTCCATTTCAGGATGTGGATAAAATCCAAGCACCAGTACCTTTGATGAGAATATGATCTAATCATGCTATCACGGTTTTACATACTTCTCAGTTATACGTGAAGGAATGGGGGCATACAGTTAGTGTGCCTGGTGCTCATACAGTGGGTTTTCTTACTCAGTTAACTACCTTCCGTGATCTGTATAACCTCAGCTGTGAGCTGTATATGTGGAAGGTGAGATGCCTATAACGGCATCATCCCTGTGCTGCAGTCCTTCCCACAGACTTTGAGAAAATGACGAACACAGCTCACAAGTAAATGGGCCCTGTCCTCTGTATAAAATTTGAAAATTAATCTGACTATGAAAATAGAGGGATTCCTGACTAGTGAGAGATGGTGGGATGGTCTGGTTCATGAGGACTGGGGCAGACATCAGTAAATTTCCTCAAGGAAGACAGGTCCTTGTTACTTTATGTCCATTGCCAAAGAATCAGTTTTAGGCTACGCAAAACTGTATATAGGCAGGAGTGGAAGACCCTTAACTGTGATGATAAATAATGTTGGGTTTTTTTGTTTTGTTTGTTTTGCTGTAGATTTGGAATGGAAAATAATTTATGTGGGTTCAGCTGAAAGTGAAGAGTATGATCAGGTGTTAGACTCTGTTTTAGTAGGACCTGTTCCTGCGGGCAGACACATGTTTGTATTTCAGGTAAGTTTGATTTAACTATTTCTAAAAGGGTTGTGTTAATTTCTTTAAAGATGACTGTATCAAACTAAGAGGCACTTGAAAAATAATGGTAAGCTAGAAAAATATTTTAGTCCGCTCTTCAGGTATGATACACCCTGCCTTAAAGTCTGTTCATGACCTGCTATTTCTTGCCCCTGGTATTTCCACGGTAATAATTAGAGATAGTGATATAAGCACTGTTCCTGTCGCTACTGATAATTTTGACCAGTCTGGTTTATAAATTTATCCTAGATCACTCAGTAACCAAGAGTGCGGGTTACCTGGTTTACACCAGCACCATCAAGCTTAACTCTACTGCAGTTGGTGGCAGTTTCAGATAATCAGGAGCACTAGGGTAAGGTAGACAACATCTTCAGAAGATCAGGCCAACAAATTAATTGTAAAACTCAGCCAGAACAGTCAAGAGTTCATTTCTGTTTGGCAGGATAAATGTTCAACCGTGATGTTTGGCTAAGCATGCTAAATCACAACAAAATATAGCAATTTGTAAAATACGACAGAATTTCAATGGTAGATAGCAGGCATTTGGGACACAAGTGTGTAGATCAAGACGGTCCAACAAACTCGGGAGCATATCACAGTCCCATAAAATACTGCTGTTAAAGCCAAAAGTTACTAAGAAGGAATAATGAAGGGAAGGAAAACAGGGAGAGAGCAGCACTAAGATAAGATGGCTTACTAGCCTATTCTAGTTTCCACTTGAAGTCAGGAAAAGGAAAAAAAACACTAAAGCAGACTTGCCTAAATTCTCAGGGAAGTTGTTGTTTGCTTGGTTTGTGGTTGTTTTTTTTTTTAATCAAAACTATTGTTTAGCCCACTTTTTTCTCTGTTTATCAAATACTAGTATTTGTTGTGTAAGAGCAAAATGCATCAGCAGAAAAATCAGATTGAAACTGAGTATGGCTTATTGTATAAGAACCATGCTACTTTCCCAACTACTATAAATTCACGTAACTAATGGCAAATGCATGCTGGAGTATGAGCATTAAAAAAAAAAGTGCTAATGAATACACTTTCTTATTTCTCACAGTTACTGTAACTGTTTTAAAATAATGTCAGCATTTGTGAGGCATCTTGATTAATCCTGTAAGTTCCAGGAAACTTTCTTTTCTTACAGGACAGGGTGAAGGAATAGGATTAGGCTGGAGGTTACACTTATCAACCACATACATGCAAATCAGTCTTGAAACATTTCTGTTTGGTTTTGGAGCTGGGCCTAATTTTTCCACACTACAAATAAAGCAGATGTGTAACAAATGCATCATTTATTAACAGTTCTTCCATTATCAAGCTATTATAGCTTATGGCATTAATTGGTCAGAAATAGGTGATCCTTTATTGCTCTCAAAGGGGCTACCTTGTAGCACTATATCCAGAGAAATCAGCTGGCATTTACATTTCTAATTTAAAAGATGCACTGTTCTTAATTAAGTTGTGAAGATTCATTGTTGATGATGATGAGAAGGAGCAGGAGGCAGGTGCCTATAAAGGCATGTTTTGGCTGTATGATTAGGAAGGCCTTGAAAGTTAAATTTACTGGTCTTGCAGTTTCTGTAGAATGGACTCATTGATTGTATCCTGGTTATAAATGACACTACAGCTAAATTAGAAGTAGATATATAGGCATTTTGCTTACATTGGAATAGGTCCTGTAAGACAGTACTCCTTCCGTGTTACATTAACGTATCCCTTTTGTTTCATATGGAAGTAATTTTGGTCTAAGTATTTTTGACTTCAAAAGGACTGGATTTCAGGTGAGGGTAAGACGCAGCACAGGAGACCACCAAAACCCAAAGTACTGCAATAAGCCTTTGCTGAGGGCTGAAGCTATTTTATTCACCAAACTGAAGCAGCTTGGGAGATGGAAAGAACTAGCAAGGGAAGGCCAGCATGGGGCAAAGAATGGAAGTGCAGGAGGGATATAATATAAAGAGAAGAGATTGTGTTCACTAGGGACAGCACAAGGAAAGGACCTTTGCGGAGGTGTGTAAAATTTTCAGCTAATAAGATGCTGTAGACTTTTCTAAATAGGAAAATGGCTGAAATGGCAAGTAAAGTGGAGTACCACACAGATAAAATACCAAGGATGATAAAACTACCTTTGAAAAGAAGCTGTGTATCAGGTTGGGAAGTCAGCCTTACATACAGAAAGATGGAAAACTATTGTGCTTTTCAGACTTACACAATCAGCCTGGTGTTTTTTTTTTTTAAAAACATTTAAAAAGGTTTCAATATTAAAGGCCCACAGTTTGGACTATTTGGTTCTAAATACCAAGATATAAGTAGTGAAACCTGATTCTTTCTCTCTATGCACTTGGGGATTTGTAATAAATTCACAGAAACCTCTTTTTGAGAACGTAAGTACATAGATAATTTACTGTCTTGAAGTGGGGATATGACCTTAGCTACGTACTCTGCAGTAACAGCTATCTGAATAAATGTATCGGGTGGAAAAGCAAGATAATTCAAGATAACATATACATTGCATGATTTCATAAAATCCTTAAGTAACTTCTAGCATAAGAATGGCATATTAAGACAGTGATTTTTATGCAAAAGTTAATCTACTGCTTCTTTTTGCCTACCAAAATATCTGTTTGCAACTGCTCACTTATCACTAGATCATACCAAGCTCTTCTTTTTTCTCCCACCTATGTATGATCATTTGTTTCCCGGGCAGTGTAAAAGGTTTGATGTCCATGGCAGGAAGTTCAAAATTTGAGAAAAGAAAACTGTTTCAAACAGTGTTCAGTAGCTTCTCCACTCAGCAAAGCAATGCTTGAGAGTTAAGTAGGATTAAAACGGACTATCTCCTTGGTTTCACAACTGTATCATAGGATATTACAGGACACAAAATGACAATGGGAGCCTGGAAGAATGAAAATCCCACATTCAAGTGCGAGTTGAGTTTCATGGGGGGTTAAATGGAACAGTGTCCTTTTGCAATATCTTAGTCTATGACCGCCCACTGTGGAATTTAAAGTAATCAAATGGTCCTGCACACTGTTAGAACAAGACTACTGAATTAAAGTAGTGATTTCATCTGTATTGGCAGTTCTGGTGATTTCTTCAAGCTTCTACACTTGTCCTATTCCTTGGTCATCTTTTCCATGCGAATTGTAAAGCCGTTTGGTCATTTTCTGTTCCCTTCAGGCCTGGAGGAAGTTGTGTTCTACCTGATTGCTTGCTTTTCCTCCCCCTGGTGCATTTGTACCTGAGAGGTCTGACTCATCTAATTCTTGTGCAAAGTGCCTACAGCTTCTTATAAAAAGCTGGACTGGTTTGAAGGCTTAGAATTAAGTAGCAAAGAGCAGAAGCCAATGCTGCATGACCACTAGCTCCCAAATTTCACAGTGCTGGAGCATATAAATACTACAGAAAAGTAGGGATGAGAGGGACAGCAGAAATTAATCCCATTTGTACTCTGTCTGTAGGCCAGATTCTTTACACCCGAAGCAGTCTAAAATACATTGTTAATACTAACTTGTATTCGCAACACAGGTGTTCATTGTTGGCTTCAGCTCTTCATGTAAAATTGTAAATATGAAGATGTTTCATTTACGCTTAGATTGCTGTTACTTTAAATCCTACACCAGAATAAGGCATCACATTTTATCAAGAAATGTGTAATTAGGAAACATTTTAAGGGACTGATGTGAGCCACATTTTACGAGGCAAATTTTATTGATTATTAATAACCGCAGAGCCATGATAATTAAGGATGTTAAGGAAGATAAGAGTTGCCTATTAATTAGGATTGCATCTTGGCTGAAAAATACGTCAGGTGTCTCAGAGTGATGATGCATTTAACTGCATACATTTCAACAAATGTAGGCATGTGGAAGGAGGCAAGAGAGGGAGTAGTTTATTCCTTTCCTAGAAATCTGTGGGACAGCTCAAACCTCACCGTGGCCTGTGCCTGCACTGCTTGCTGAAGTATAAATTGCAGTCTGTATTTTTTAAGGGCTTAGTCATCAAAAAAAACCCCAAAACAAACAAACCCCCAAGAAAACCCACCAAACCATACAGACCAATTCAACCTCAGAGGTACCAAAAAGAAAAATAATCTTACTCTACTAAATTACCAAGATGGGCTGGTGAACAGTGGCACTGTAGAATTGGACGGATGTTAGTACACTTGCTCAAACAACAGTTGATCTGATCATATATTTAAAAGCAGTTTTGGATCAAAGCTGTCTAATCACCCATGAGAAGTGTCAGCACACAATATTACTGTATTCTAAGTAATTCTGCCTCTCTATGATAGTGTCCTAAATTGAGGGGTGATGTTGTTGTGAAAGCAGGTATATTTTCTGGTTAACCTGAGGAACAATTTTAAGTATGGTTGCTACTCAGCTGCTAAGACATAGTACTTAAGATTCCCCTGCTAGATAGGCATGTGGTATCAATTTTATTTTAATACATCTTTCCCTTTCACATTTAGGCTGATGCACCTAACCCAGGGCTTATTCCAGATGCAGATGCAGTAGGTGTAACAGTTGTTCTAATTACATGCACCTATCGAGGTCAAGAGTTTATTAGAGTCGGCTACTATGTTAACAATGAATATACTGAAACAGAACTGAGAGAGAATCCACCAGTAAAGCCAGATTTTTCTAAGGTAAGGCACATTTTGTTCTAGTCGTATAGCAAAGGTATGCTTACAGAAAGTGTTCTTTAAGAAACAAAACCAAACCCCAAGTGATTCCATAGAGTGCGTGGAACAAGGCATCAAATTATGGAAAAAAAACTTGGGGGGACAAATGCATAAATTTGGAGAATATTGAGAAACCTGCAACAGTTTCCACCAGCTTGAAGCCTTGGCTGGATTTTGTTGCTATTTTACGCTGTGTGAAATCAACCATTGGGTTCCCTGTACCCGTACCACTGTTCACAAAGTGGCTCTGTTCTTCAGAAAGAGAGTGATGTTTTTTCTAGGACAGTCAACAACCTGGAACTAGGTTTTAATTTAACACAGTTTATCCAGCTGTTCTAGTGTTAGAGCTGCAGTTTCTGCAAAACAGTAACAAACCGAAGAACAAGTTACATATAAAATGAGAGATGAGTAGCCTAGTAAGAGCAGGTTGGTTGATTATCCAATCAATGGACAACTTAACCAAGGAAGTATACAAATTAAGTTTTAAAAAAAAAAAAGTCCTTCATGGTAAAAATTAAACCAGGACTAGAATTAAAGGATGATGTGAAATAGAATTATTTGGAACCTAATACCTTGAGGAGAAGGATCAATTATACATCAAAAACTAGTCAAAATCCTGGGAAGTACTCTGCTCAGGCAGACTCTGTACAAACCAACAAAGTTCTACACAGCATCCATGTTTGTTTTCATGGAAGATTTTATGGAGTTGGGTTTTCTCTTTATGACAGTTGACATATATGTGTACACACGTTCCAAAGTTGTGTGATGGTGAAAATGTTGTTATTTCTCAAGTTTGCATGAATTACGTGATTGGATATATGAAGAAATGAATGGGATAATGCATGTGCTGTAATGACTAGTACAGACATAATCCCTATAGTCCCTGAAACTGATCTTCCAGTGTAACTAAACTGAGTTGGTATGTAAATTGGGTTTTAGAAGTCGCTAATGATTTTGTATTCTTAACTTAATTTTCAGGGATCAGATACCCAATATGTTCTCAAAATTATGGTTGATTTTCAGGATTCTTAAACTTCTAATCTGTTCCTTTAAATAATATACTTATTTGTTATTTTGGGTGCAAGTGTCAGAATGTCGACTTCCTTTAAAAGCACTTGACTTTAGAAATGCCTAGAACTACTTGTCTGAATTCTCTGCTTATATAAAAAGCTAGCTCTGCTTCTATGAAAAAGAATGGCAAAAGCTATCTTGTATTTGTATAAAAAGTCCTAAATGTGACTTTGGGACAGAATTTAAACATACAAGTAGAAGGTTATTAAATTGGTTAATTGATGGGTAATAGACCATATTAGGTTCAAAAAAAGAAATGGTCTTGTTAGTTTGTGTAAGGGGTTGGGAAATTTAATGAGAGTGCACTTCCTTAGAGAATAAAATCAGCATTACTACCAAAGCAAACTTTTCCTGTGATCAGTCTTAACTTTCATAATGAGTGGCCAATAGCAATAAGTTGCCATCCTCCAGTTAACTACATACTTATCTTGAAAATGGTGAAAGATTAAGATAATGTGAGCATTTTCTTTTTTGCTGCATATATAAACAAATATAACATGTTTTCAAAGGAAAATGAAGGCCAGCCATGAGAATAAAATATGACTAATGTCTAGGCATGTCCACTGCCACAATACTAGTATCTTCCAAATATAAATAAAGCTTTTACTTTAAAACTTTAGTAAACAAATTAAAATTCAGTTAGTGAAATCAATCTAAAGCATGGTAATTTAATTTAAGGATAGGTTGTACTCTTAAATGAAGACAAACAGTTGATGGAATTGGTACAATTATTGCAAACACCGTAAAATTTTATGAGGTACTCTGGTTTGCAAAATCTTTGTGGGGGTAGTCATTTGCTTTACTAAAAGCTGTCTAAAATAATAAACATTTGCACTTTACTTGCAGAGTTCTCGTACAGCCTTGAACTCACGGAACAGTTAAAAATATCCTCTCAAGAAAGCAGTTATTTTGCTGAGTAGGATATCAAGAGTAAATGAAGGAGTGGTGTGTTACTGTAAGCATGTTTCTGATCCACAGATAGTAGCTATAGATTCACATTTGTATGAGTTACCTTTTTAAACAAATTGTTTTATTCATATGAGGATATGGGGAGGGAGTAAAAGAAAAAAATCTATATGCATATGAACTCTAGTTTGAGATGTACACAGAACGTAATCCATATATTTTCTTCTCTCCCAGCTTCAAAGGAATATTTTGGCATCTAATCCCAGAGTCACGAGATTCCACATTAATTGGGAGGACAACACTGAAAAACTGGAAGATGCAGAGAGCAGTAACCCAAATCTACAGTCACTGCTTTCTACAGATGCATTACCTTCAGCATCAAAGGGGTGGTCAACATCAGAAAATTCATTAAATGTTATGTTAGAATCTCATATGGACTGCATGTGACTAACCACCATCGTTTTGGTACTGTACATGTGTTAAACTGTAAAAACAACCAGAACTATTTCCCTCAAGTTCCATAAGTACATAGTTGACAAGCAATGTGAAGAACTTGTTTTAAAACATCCTGTAGAAAGTTTATATAAAAAAAAAAACCACACACAAAAAACAAACAAACAGTATTTGAGCAAATTGTGGAATATAAATACAACTATTTTTAAGTAATTGCCTTTTTTCTCTAATGTGTTATTCTATGTGGTCTAAACCTAACCTGATTAAAGTATACGTATTCTCTCCCCTCCCCCTTTCCTTTGTAAGCACTATTAAAAGCTAAAAAACTGAAAGTTAAAACATTCAGGCAAAATGAAGGAATAATGCCCTGTCCTCATCTCTGATATCCAGATTGCCAAATATAAAGTGCCCTTTAATAGCAGCTTAAGAACAAAACTCTCATTAGATGAAGTGCAAAGAAAAAAGTATCTCTAAAAAAAAAAAAAGTCCAAAAATGTCCTCTTGCTGTGAGAGCAGACAGCGCAGTATAATTTTAGGTGCAAGCTTCTTTTCCTTTCAAGGCACATACTTGTTACTTAAAGCATGCAATTTGAGATTTACCATCTGCTATCTTGGATTTTAGGACTTTTTTTTTTAAAATCTGCTGCTGCTGTTCAGTCAAACTGTGGTTTGTTAAGGACAATGTTTCATGTGGATTTGGGTGGGTATCTCAGGAAAGAACTGTTTTTCAGCTACCCTAATAGCACACACAATTGGTTGGAAGTATTCAAGCAGTTACTAGAGAATTTGAGCATCAAAAAGAATAGCATGAGTATCCAAAAAATGCTCTTCTGAAAGATTATTATGTACAGCTGCTGGTTGGTACGTTTATTTTCACATATGCTTTATTCTTGTAGTCTTTTTAACTAATAATAAGGAGTTTAGATGCTTTCTTTCAGTTTTTTTGAAATATCTGGAATTTAAAACTTTTCTGTTTTCTCTCTACCCTTTAAGGCAATCCTATGTACTGGTATAAATCAAGATTCAAACCCTGTTGTGGCAGGCATGACACACTCAAGAATACATTGCCTGCCCTGAAGTCCTTGCACCAAGACATCTCTATTACCTGAGGCATCCTTGAAGATAAAAAGAACTAAAGAGTAAATTGTAAAGACTTAAAACAATATTATGACACTAACAATTTAGTTATTCCTTCCAATCCTCATTAGCCTTATACGTTTACTATGACTGTGCATTTAAAATTGTGATCTGCCATGTCAGATTACAGGAATATAGTGCTGCTAGTTACTAGTAACCACCCAAACCGAACCCTTGTAGGTTCCAAGCTCTTTAAAAAAGGGTAGATTTCATGATGACTGACAGTATAGCTCTGAATAAAAGTAGAAGGCTTTCTCTTCTTTTTCTGCATTCTCTAATAGGGATGAAGATGTCCCAAGCAGTTAGCACTTCTGTCTTTCCCCATCATTAGTGAAATTGTCTCCATTTCTAACGTATATTTTTTAAATTGGAAAGGAATGACCTGCTCTGAATGTACCTGCGCATGTTTCTTTCTTGTATGGAAACTCAGCAGTACATATGGAAGCTGAATGAATTAATGAAATCCATTAGTATTTTGAACCCTAATTCTAATGTGTGCTTTTAAAAATCTCTTTAATTGTTTAAAACGATCAGTAATTTAAAAATATTAACACTCTAATATCGGTATGACTTAACACAAAGAACTTGTCCCCCAAACCAGTAGTTGCTTCACTTGAGGGCTGAAATTACATGAACTTTTAAGAAAAGTCTTCTAATTTTCAATTATACTGCAACTTTAAGGTCTACAGTGACATTTTTGAGATTTTTTTTCACGCACTTTATTGTTGTATTTATAAATCCATTTGAGAAACCTCTTAAATGTAAGCATGTAAATAACTTGGTCATCTGCTAAAATACTGACAGCCTAATGAAGTCTGCCTTGAGCTAAGGCTACTGTAGTGGTATTTCAAACCCTTGCACCTATTGAAGATTCAAATGAAAACATGATCAAGTACAAGCTGTAACCAGAATCCATCCATCAGTAGCATGAAGGCATCTTAGAAGTGTATGCCACAAAGTGATGGAAGCAAACTTGTTTACTGCTATTGTAGAATCAACTACAAAATACAGTCAGCAAAATTACATCACCTAGCAAAGCAATTCATTTAGAGAAATCAAAAAGTGAAGATCTATTGTTCTGTTTAGGAGGAAAACAGTCAACTGCACACTTGAACTCGGGTGCAATAAACTTCAAGCTAGATCAGATGGCATGATGCTGCAGTAGAATTTGGCACCACTGTACCTGATACACTAACACATCCTAGATAGAGCTGACCCACCAATTACAGGAAAAAGAGTAACCCTATTGTGTTTGCTGAAAACTGGAGAGCGACCACCGTATCTCATGAGACCATCTCATGATCTTTGCAAGAGAAACGGTCTTTTTATGCTTTTTGAGAGACTGGATGCCTCTCGGGTCTTCTACAACTTTGTCCAGATCTTAGCAGTCCATACACACTGTCTTCTGAATATCACATTTCTTGGCAAAATCACATTCCAGAGACATGGAATTTGAGCAATCAAATTCCAGTACTCCAGAGGCTTCAGGTCTGATCATCAGGCACCATCACAGCACAAACTTAGTGGTATTAAAAGATCCAGTGCATATAAGGCATCTTTATAAAAACTTGTCCCTGATCTGTGAAAGTTCTGAAACAGCAAGGCTGTATACACGACATATAGACAGCTAGTGCAGACAGCACAGCATTACAATTTCAAGGTCGAAGATGGTTTTCCTTCCCACAAACCTCCACTCACAGAAACTACCAAGATGCAAGGGAATGCTACAGATTCTATTGCCAGGACTGGTGATGCATCTCCCTGTATTTTTACGTCAGATAGACTCAATTCCTTTAGAAGATTGTCATAGCTCTTATCAGAGGTTATTCATATACAAAGAAGTAAACGGATCAGACACGGTAACATTACGGATGAAAAACACGGGTGGGGTTTTTTATGTCTAGCTTGAAAAAAACTTGTCCCTTCATCTTACAGTCACTGTAATTTCTTCATGCATCACCTCCAGTCTGAATTACTGTGACACTGAGTTTGAAGGGGGCAAAAAGGCTCCAGCTCCATCATAGTGGAGGCTGGTGAAATTTAACCTCTCCAGTGGCTCTACAAAGCTCCACTGAAAAAGCCAATCCTTACTACCAATCTTCAAGCCCACAGCAACTCAGAACTTTGCTACAATAACCACAGTAACTTAGTTTATAGCTCACCAGACAATCTGTATTCTTGAGATGTGAGTAACAAAGTCACAGAGACAAATCTCGTAGTCCATTACTTTCTTTGTAGGGCCTCAACAGCTGATTTTCTGTAAGTGAGCTCAGATGGGAGTCTAGCCACTTGCAGCCAGACAAAGATTGTCCACTGCCATCTGAAAATGGTGGTAGGGAAGAAAAAGGAAAAACACCAAAACACCTTATGCACGTACACTCCTGGCAAATCCTCATTTACCAGAGACAACAGAAAAGCAAAGTTAACTAAATCTTGTGGCTTTCGTCTGGGCAGCTGCAGGGGATCCTTCACATACTTACTTAGCTACCCTACCCCTTATCCATAGCCCAGTGATCTGCAAGCTTGCAGATTCTCTCATTTTTTTGGGGAGCCACACAAGTTTGATCTGGAGATGATGGGTTAATTGTTCTGTTGAGGCTAGCTGGAGTGCTCTGCACAGTGCCAACGGGGAAGATGCAACAAAACTGACTACGTATAAGGGCTGGCAGTCTGTGTGGGGGACTATTCACACTAGGCCTTCCCCTTTGTATCTATGTTTCCAGTTAAAGTTCTGCTTCTTAAAAGCTGTCTTGTAGTGCGTGATATGAGAGGTGGGCTGCAGAAGACAGGTGGAGGGATTTTTGCTTGATTTCTGGTTTAGGCAAAGAAGAATGTCTAAGGAAGAAGAGCCAGCTGGAATCACTAGGGAGGCTTCGTTAAAGGCAAACCCCAGGTTTCTATCTGGAACTTAGGAAGCAAAGGCCCTTTCAGGAGGGGATGGAGGGAGGATGCGCTTCAAGATGTGCAACTTTCAGTAACGCTGGTTTGGAGGCATGGCTGGGTACTTGCTGTCCGTGGCATGAGGGATGTGACTGGCCTTCCTGCAGATAGAGAAAATCAGAGGGAGGAGGGGTGTGCGCTGCAGAAGGGCTATACCAGATGTAAGAGAAGAGCAACGTGTTAACAGCAGTGTTATGAACTGGCTGAAATGTCAGGAACTTCTACGGAGTTCTGGGGTCTCCCTCCAAAACACCTCTGGACCATGAGATAAGGAGGCCTACCTTTCGACATGAAGGGGTCCTCCAGTTTGTCATGACTTACTAGAAAGGTGTGTCAGACCTACACTGATAGGAACTGGGAAGAAGAGAGGGCTTTATGGTATGGTGAAGGGCATCCTGAAGACATATGATATCCATCCAAAAATCAACTGCTTGAAATGCCTGCCATTTCAACAGCAGGATGAAAAAGTCTGATGAAGGCCTGCCTGGATGTATTGTGCCAGAAGTGCGTAAGATCTGAAACCTCCAGCCAACATGACAAAGATATTGCTCCTGCAGTATTTCCTGTCCGTCATAACTACAGGTCTTCAGATACAGATGTATGAACAGACCAAAATTTCTGAAGACGGATACCTACTTGGCTAAATCTTTTGCATGCAGGTAGTCAAGGTAAGCTCTGTCTCAGGACAGAGCCATCTTGGAGCAGCATTATTAAGAGGAAATGAAGGGAATTTAAAGATCTGCAAGAGATGAGACATTGTTACACATGTGGCATATCTCTGACAAGGTTTGATCACAACTTCGAAATTCATTCCTTCAAGAAGTCTAGCAGACTTCCTACAGAGTTAAGGCCTCTTCAACTTGAGGCCCAACTGTTTAAGGAACAGCCAATGAAGTCATGCTCTCAGGAAAATATTTTCAAGGCACATGCTGATAGAAAATACTTCAAGTTCATGTACAATTATGACTATTCAGGAAAACAATGAAGAATCCTGTGGTAGAAGTGAAGATCTGAGAAGAGTGGCCTAAAGGCTGCATCTCTATTAATAACTTTATCAGGTCCAGGGTATGAAACCATACTGGCAAACTGTTCCCTGGCACTGCCTTGGTCTGCATCAACTAGGGAATGTCCAGGCACAGTTTGGGACTCTACAAACAGGGAAAAATGTCTCCCGTTTCAGTGTCTTGCGTACCTCAGGATACTGACACCATGTACTCTATTCATAACCATAGCTGGATGGCTCATGTCAGCCACTTTGAATTGGTTTGTAATGGATCAGAAGAGAGACAGCTGTTAGCACCCAAAGCCTGCCTAGCAGGGAGAGGCTTACTATGAAGAAGAAAAACGGTGGTTTCTCCTTGCGTTAGTCTCCTTCAATGAAGAGAAAAAAAACATCGTAGCAAGCTGCTGTTGGCATGATATGGACAGTTAGACATTGCAAAATGTCGCCAAAAAGGCAGGACTCTCAAGGCTTAGTAGAGGCTGTAAGAGGAGAGGCCAGAAGGCTGCATTTCATACTGCTCAGCAAGACATATTGTACAGAACTGGAGAGCTGGAGAAACAGCTGATGGTCTCCCAGATTTTTAGACAAGCTGTTCTAAATACAGTTCACAAAATTTTTTAAGCAGTCCATCTGTGGAAGAACACAACACCAAACAAAATTTTGCAGAAATGTGAACAGCCAAATGTGCACCAGGAAGCAGCAGAATGACTCTGGCCTGGACGTCCACGAGCTCCAGACCCGCCAGCAGCAGGCATATGTTGGTTCCTGTCCCTATGGAGTCGAACGCACCAATCGAATGCTGCAGATCTCCAGCTCCAGGGGTAAATGAAATATTTTCGTACTAGTGATTATCTCATCCAAATATGCACAAACAGCACCGTGGCTCTGGGGACTGCAAAACAGTTGTTATACTCAGTAGTAAGGTGGGAACCCACAGAGAGATTTTGTTAAACCTCACGAAGTCTCTATCTTTCTGGAAAACTATGTATCGATTTCTAAAAATTAAAGGTACCTGAACGACTCCCTGTGATTCTCAGATGAGAGGCTAGTTGGGGAGAATGAACCAGGCCTTTAAAAAAAGCTAAACACTGTGTAGACAGAACCAGACAGTGGGACAGATGGTTCCCCCATCTTCTATTTACAAATCATAAGTAAGACACTCCTTGCACAGGGAAGGCAAAGAAAATAACTCAAACTACATCCAGACTCCTGGGCTAGAAATTAATGCTTTAGTCCAGCAGTTCTAGCTATGGAAAGGTTCACTGAAACTAAACCAGGGTCAGTAAGATTTCTTGCTAGGGACTCAAGTTGCACTTCCGATAAGGGTCCTAAAGAATTTTAAGGCGGAGATTTGGTGCACGTGCTGTCAGATCTGGGGGGGAGCAGAGCGAGAGGCTTTTTAAAATACAAGGAATACTTAAGTGAAATGCAGATGGTCTAAAGACCCAGGACCATCCTTTCACAAGATGAAGCTCCGTCTCCATACATCATTACAGCTGATTCTGTGGCACACATATCACAGTAAGCTTGTAAACTGCAGTATTGGTTTTCAGGGAAATGTCTTTGAACCTAGCTGTCACAGCTGAGCTGGAAACCAGATCACATGGAAAATGACGCACAGGAGGGAGACATGGTGAAGAAGGCAACAGCAACATCAGAGGCGAAGAGCAGCTGACACAGGGAAATTACTACTGACAAAAGTTGGCAAAGTCACATTGAAAGGCATGGCAAAATTTCACTCCAGGTCACTGTCAGTCCCTTAGCAAAACTTAAATTATCCAGCCTGTTCTCAACACAGAAAAAAATGTGGACAAAAGGTTATGCTGAGCCAAAATGTTCTCTCTGGCTTCTCTCCAGACCTATTTGTCAACAGTCTGAATGGAAAACCAGAGGCATATGTGTTTCATAACAAGTTCCCTGCACTCAAGATTGTATATGTTCAACATCAAGTTCCACTTCCACAGCTATGGAAGACTGTACCGTTTACACATGTACACATAGCTATGGAACTGGGAAAGATTTATTCTCTGGTTTACCCATCTATAAATAATGCTGTTTCACAGACCTAAAATGACAAGCAGCACTATCTCAGAAACATTTAAGTTACACATGCTAGCTGAGACACTGGTGTTTGTCCCTAAGAATTTTGTGATTTTGAATATACTAGTAATATAGTCATTTGCTCAAATACAGTCATTTGCAGAGGTAATCTGACCCTGCACATTATCCCCAGAAGAGTTTGTAGAGATACCTGGCATTCAGAGCCAGCTGGGACATACCTAAATTTAACAAACAAAAAAATCTTGCTCTCTGAAATCATCTTGAAACCATCTTTATGACTCAGAAATAATTCCTCAGCACAGGGGTGAATTTCCAGAAAGTAAGCAGAAATCAAGCTGGCACCTAGCCAGAACATATGAAAGAACAGAAGAGGAGAGTATCTGTCCAGGAGAAACCAAATGATGCTAGCCCATCACACAGTGCGAGCTCTGGAAAGATGTCATATTTGTCATAGCTGGGAAGAACACTAAAAGTACAGGTCCAGATCATCCTCTGCTAGCAAAGCAGCGAGAGGTGCCTCTGGCTGAGACTTGTACAGTTCCCTGTTAGAAGCTCATCACACTGCTCCACTGATACAGAAGAAGGGGCAGGACTGCGCTTCTGCAGAGTCATGTCAAGCCTCATATGCCTCCACAGCAGTTCTTTGCTTCAACTGTGCTCATACAACCTAGGCATGTATGTTCATATATGTAGAAGGCCTCTATATAAACCTACTTGAGCAAGAAAGTAAAGTAAGGCACATACCTGCACTTGTAGATCCAATTCCTGCAGTAAGCACAGAGCGTGGTATAATCTTCACTGCATACTTGAGAAACTGAGATTTCCCCGTACCTGGGTCTCCAACCAACAAAAGATGCGATTCACCTTGGGGGAAAACATTGAAGTAGGAGTAGACGGTTCATATACAGAGAGAGATACACACAAAATGCTCAGAATTACATAATACTTCTTGTTACTCACCTAACATTTAGCACTACATATACATGACAATGTGTAATTCTGTTTAAGGCTGCACTATTTTTTGGATGTGATAAATATATTGTTTAATAAAAGCATCTAGTCATATTGCTGCACTCAAACCAAATATTTAAATGAAAGATTTTTAAAGTATTAGCAGGTATTTGACATACTTCCTGTAATGTTAGTTCTTACATTTTAGAATACTCATTTCTCAGACTCTACTCACTCTTGAACATGAAACAAACGGATAACCAGATTTTAGTTATCATTCCACTATTCAGTTACTTAAATTATTGCAAAAAGGACTAATAAAATCAGCAGGTTATTTTTCTTAATTAATTCTGTTACATTGCCAACAGTTATACCACTTAGTAATTTCAAAACAATGAAATTACAGAAGTAAATAAATTGGCTACTACAATCTCACTGAAGTGCTCTAAAATTATTTGTCTTCTACAAAATATTAATACAACTTCAATTCAAACATAGCATCTATAACTTTAGTTAGCTGCTGGAGCATTAAGAAAATCCTGTATTTGTATAAACAGACATACTATTTTAGAATTATTATGACCTACATAGATTATGACCTGTGTACCACCTGGCACATGGCATATTTGCCATCTAATAACAACAGAAGGAGAATCAGCAGGCAGATAACTTACAGTAACAGAACTAAGTGATATGTGCTGACAATCACAGATGGAAAAGTCTGGCATTAGGAAGTAAAATGAATCCTTTAATTTTTCCTTTCAATGTACTATAGTGATCCACATCAAGGAAACATTAATATTCCATCCTTTTATGCCAAACACTGCTGGGAATATTCTACTAGAAATCATTTCAAAACGTCACTTATACAATAAGAAGTGAGTTTATGTTTCATCTAAAACAACTGTCTTTAATATTCTACCTAATGGAATCCTGAATGCCTGCTTTTACTGGATTTTATTTGGGAAAAATTAAAAAGAGGAAGTCTAGACACCCACTTTATTTGTCTGCGATTCTGGAAGAATACTCAGCATTAATCAAGAATTGCTCTCACTCAAGAAAATGGGATGATGATGCTTCCGAAACCTTACTGGTTTGATTTTGGAGGGGGGAGGGAGGGGAGGGGTGTAGGTGAAGACAGGGATGGGAACAAGTGTTAGAAAGGATGTGATATTATTAGAAACAATACTAACCTCTGATTCGAGTTCCAGTAGCATCAGTCCTCTGTACACCTCCAGCAAGCACCATGGCTACAGCCAGCTTCACCAGGTACAATCCAAATACTTGAGGACATAAGCTAGCCAAAATTTCATTCCTCCCTAGAAGAGGGACAAAAAATGGCGCTCAGCACTGCCCTAAGAGTAAAACTTTGTTTCCCATGGACTCCTATGTGCACTTAAAGTCCTATGTACATTGACAAATAATTTGGGTCTGCTTCCTGAACAAGAGGAACAGGGCAGGGAGGAGAATTTTTTTTTTAATTATTATTATTTTATTTTTAAAATGAGACCCAAAGCAGTTGTTTAATCCAAACTTCCTTCATTTTAAAGAAGTTAAATCTTCCATGGTGACAAGCAGCAAAGCCAATCCCATTGCAATTTAAGGAATGTATGGTCTGGATATCATGAGAAAAGGCACTAACGAAATGACATCATGCAAATTCTTTTGTTTCGCAGATAAAAGTGTAGAGGCAATTAAGAATAAAACTTAAAAGTTTCCAGACTTCAAAATATCGCCTTGAAAATTGGTGTGTTGTACATCTAAGAAAACTAAGAAGACACCTAACACGTGAAGTATTTTGCCATAAACCTGTGCACCCACAGCATTGCTCATTTTTCTTATCGCTGTCTTGAATCTTCTTCTCCTTTGCCCCTTCTGCGTCAAAGGTCCCTCTCCTCCTCCCTACCATAGTGTCTTTCCAGCAACAGAGTATCTCAATTTGCTATGCTAACGTTGTTGGCTTGGAAGCTGTGTAACAGAATTAATTCTGTCTTTTCAGATTCTGACACTAACAGCACATAAGGGATCACAGGTTTAATGCCATACATTACTCCCATTGCTAGGGAATAAAACAGAGCAACCAATTTTTAGTTCTTAAATTCATGTTTTAAATTTGGATGCAAGTACACGGTACTGGCAAAATATGTAGGCAACTAATAGATGACTTGAGGCATATGTGTTTCTTGTGGAAGTCTTCTGAAGGTATTAATACATCTTTGTCCAAAATTGAAATTTAAAAAACTTTGGTCAGCCATAGCATAACTCAAGATTTAACTCCACAGTTGCCTCTGTTTGACTTCAGATTCATTTGCCTTGTCAGCGCTGAGCAGCTCAGCAGTTCTGCTTCTTCCTAGATAGTATCCAGAAAAAATAAAGTCACCTGCATAAGTTCTCTCAGAGGCCTGCCATGCTAGACTTTCTCAGGACAGTGAGTACACAGCATTAGGAATTGACTGACGTAAAATGCAGTAGTAGCTACCATTATCTCTTCAAATACAGTAAATGTACACACATCTTGTTGTAAAATGGCCTATACCTTAGACTCCTTAGTCAAATTTGATCTCTGCCCTCAATTTCAAATCAGATCAGACAAATGGCCTGAAACAGACATCTTGGGCAGAGTCCTTCTCATTTCCACCTCAATTTTCTTTTAGCCAATTTGTATTAATTTATTTATTCTGAATGGGTAATATTGCATAAACCCACATTGCTCCCTGCAGGCTTCCAAAAATTGTCCTGAGAATGAAAGATTAAATGAGACCTTCAAAGAGGATCCTGAATTACTTTCTGAACAGTTCTAACCAGGGTGATAAGAAATGTTCTCGTTTCAAACAGCAGGAGGCTAGCAATTAAATTGCCTTCCAGGAAATGCAGTTCTGAAGGATCTTGGTCATTGACAAGATCTCAAATTTCTTATGTGAGCGTGCTAATTTTTAAACTGACATGGGGAACATTCCCACCTGCTTTTCCTCCCGTTTGCCTTTTAAGAAGAAAGACTAAGCCCTTTTCAAGGTTTTAAAAGACAGAGTGAGACAGTTCAGTGACAAAGATCTTAAAGAGTCCATTGAGTTTCCATGCAGTTCATTTTTGCAGGCACTCAGATTATGGAGAGGGACAGAGTTCCAGACACAACTCCTGCTGATTCCTAGGTGGTTGACTGCAGACCATGGTAAGTTTAGAAGCCAGCGTACTAAACACTCTGGCTGTTCTGGAAGCCACTGTGAATTGGGACACCCTCTCCATATTTGATGAGAGGCACCTCAGCACCTAAATCAAGAGTCTAGGCATGCCAAGAGTTAGGCTAAATATGAGATGTGCTGTGCTCTGTGGGAAAGATTCACAGCTTAATTTGGGATGCAGAGACAATGAATCAGATCTCTCACCCCAGAGTCAACAGCTGTGCTGACTAAAAGCAGATCTGGTCTGCACTCTTTCTAAGAGGTATGCTTCTTTCTTGATTATAAAACGCTTTTCTTTTTTTCCCTGATACTTGTATTATTTCTCGTATCTCATTAATAAATGTTGCACAAAACACTTGACTAGAAAGCTCAAAAGAAGGAAGATCAATGCAGTATGTTTGGTAGGTTTTTTTCCAGTAATACTAAAGTAAGAATTTCATATTCCTCTACTGGAAAAAATATATTATTGGATGAATGCGTGGTGGGATAGGATAATGGGGGAAAAATGTGTTCAGTCACTGTATTTTCACTCCTGATTTCACCTCTATCCAATCATGTGTCCTACTTAAAAGCTTTCAACTACTAACCTGCTAAGGGATCATTCCTATGCCTTTCCCAGAAGTCTTCAAATTCCTTGCGGACTTCTTCATCAATTAAAACCCCTGCTAGCTGCTCATTGTTTACTTTAACGTAGTTGGCTTTCAAAACAAGCTCCAAGTCACAGCGTGCACCCTCGTGGAAAGGTTTCCACCTCTGCATTACCACTCCATACACTGTGATGTCATCTCCTGGAGGTAACAACAAACGTTAGTAAAATAACATCTGACTTGAGATACGCAGACATGTCAGTTAGCTATAATGTATAATTATGCAAATGACATCCTGTGTTACAGTTAATGAGGTTAAAAACCCAACAACAAAAAGTAAACCTCCTGCAGTTACTGGAAGTCTAAAACAAACATTAGGTAGATTGCTTATGTCTATCCTAGGAAGTAGCTATATCTTTCTACTTCTGTCTAAGGTAGCTGAATTCCTAAAGGTATACCTCTGCTTGTCTCCTCTTTTAGTGAAGAGGAATTCACAGTAAACTGTAGAAGCTCTTCTTTCAATTAGACTGACTATAAAAAAAATTTATTCAAAACTTAATAGACTTGTGGTAACTTTTGTGATGAATCCTAGAATCACTTTTTAACATTCTGGCCACAATGTTCTTCTGAGTAAGTATAACCAGAAATGAATTTCTTGTGGGGATGTGCCTATCTGAGAATTTTTAGTCCATTCTTCATATATCCTCCCGCCAATTAGCTTCCTTTTTGAATGCCAAGTAGCTTTTTTCCACCTGCTGCACTGCTTAGATAGCAGACCTAGCTCTCCAAACCTACAGAGGGGGACCACACGCTGTGTGATGGTATGGACCAATTTCCTCGAGAGGTTTGGTGTTCCCACACTAACAAGATCTAATATACTTTCTGTATGTCACAACACATTACTTATAGAAACTGATCTGTCAAACAGTCAAGATGTAACATGGGCATGTATGACATTTTCTAGAATAGTCTTCAACTGCAATGCTAACGTCCAAGCTGAAACAGCAACATGACAGATCAACATATCTCATTCAACAGGCCCTCAGCACTGACAGCCTACTTGGCAAAGACTCATCTCAAATGGAAAAATAAAAATGCTTGTGTTACAAACTATGTGATATATGCTGTATCCTCACCAGACTTGCAACTGTCCACTAAGTCATCTTCCAGAACAACCACCATGCAACGAGGGATGCTTCCCACAGACAGCCTTTGAACCTAGGAGAGAGGAAAGAAAAGTACTTCTTAAGAATAGCTCCTTTCAAAAGCCATTTATAGCTGCTGTGGCTTAAGGACCTACATTCCTTTCCTGTAACTGAGGTCAGTCCTTGCTTTTTCTCACAAAACTTACACAGTAAGCATGCCACTGCTGCCATGAACTTAATAGTGGAAGTTTAATGCTGATATTAATGGAAACAGGATTGAGTATTAAACTAGCTGAAGGTGCTCAATCCTGGGAGGTGGTATGTGATTTCAGTGTCTTGCTGAATAAAGCTCACTAAAAGAGGTCATTTCAAAGAGCTGATTATTTTTTTTTTAATAATTTGAGATATTTTTAGACACTTCTTCAATATGCAGAGTTTACTTTGGGTACTGCAACATGTCAATGGCTTGAGATATTTTTAGACACTTCTTCAATATACAGAGTTTACTTTGGGTACTGAAACATGTCAATGGGTTAGATAACCCTTCACTGAAGTATATACTGAAAAATTATTCTCTATGTTTTTCTGGTATTTAACTATACTCTGATAGGTTGAGACATAAGTTTACACCTAGGTGTCAAGGATTAAAACAACAACAGGAAAAAACAAATCACACAAAACCAGAGAAATCTATATTGACAAATGTGCCAGCAACTCCTGTAATTCTTTTTCTTTTCTGCAGGGCAAAGTCTGTGCAATCTTGTCACAGTCTATTTCCACCCAGCAATCTTTCCATTTACACTTAAATCTTGCAATAGTTTTTAGAATATGCAACGCACAAGAACAACGATCAGAAGTACCTTTTCATTCTGCCACACAGCTCGTACATGCTAGAATTCTAGATTTATTCACTCGCTAGTGCCTAGGAAGGTTAATTTGCCCTTGTGTATTATCTAAATGGCCACGGGCAGTTCACATCACTGTCAGTACTGGTGGCACGTACACAGTTACTTGCAGAGCTCAGTAGAAAACACGAGTGACATTCATTCCCAGTTTAACTTTACTGTGCTTAATTTTTTGCTGAAAATCCTTCCCATCATAGAGATCTGTGTGTCACACAGTAAAACAAACAAACAAAAATCTTTTAGAAACCATGTCAGAAACAACAATTACATGAACATGCAACATAGGACTTCTTTCCTAGAAAGTTTTATTCCCTTACTTTTTTGCTATTCTGAACTTTCAAGAGTTTCATTTATAATTTCATACATTCATACATTCATACATCTTGCATGTAGATTGGCACCACTATCCTCTTAATTTACAAAATCAAAACCCTGAAACAGCTGAAGATATCTTAGAAAAGATTTATGAAAAAGGCACTGAACATATAAATAAACACAGAAACATTGCCTGCAATATACCCTACTTATTCTCAATTTTCCTACAGTGTACTTTTCCCTGTGCCAGTTTTGTCTTAGTTATGCACTACTGTAAAAAGAAGCCCAATTGTTTCTTACTCCTCCACCTTAGCTGTACTTCCACCCAGTCAACATGTGACTATATTTCTAGCTCTTTGACTGGAAATCTCTGACTAACAGGCTGTCTGGCTTCTTTTAGTCTTCTCAGGCATTTGTTTTAAATAACAGTAAAGTCTGTAAAATCTTTCCACTTATCTTATCCACTTATCCATCTTATCCATCTATCCACTTATCCACTTATCTACATGATATCCCAAAAAAATGGGATAAACTCAATTCTGATGTAACCATGAACAGTCTCACTAAAATTAGCAGAGTTACGTTATGCCAGCAGGAAACTAAGCCCCCAAATGCCTTCTTTAGTAAATTACTTCTTTTTATGAGACATGTATACCTTAATACCTTCCCATCTTTTTTTTTTACCTGTTCCTGAATTTTGATTTCTTGATAGTCTCTGCAGCAGGTAGGAGAAGAGGTTGTTCCAGAGAGACACGTGAAGTTGGTTGAGTTGCAGCCTTCTTCATTAAGACAGGTTGATGGACGACAGAATGCGTAGTACTGTTCAAAGTCAGCCTTGACGACAAACACATGCTTGCACTTATTGCAGATATAACTCCGTTCAAACTCCAAAACTTTCACCAAACTGGTACGTATGACAGTCCCAGTAACAGACAAAAAGTGACCCACATCCCTGGTTTTAGGAATGTGTTCTCGAGTCAGCTCTGGGCAAACAGGCAAACCTGTTGAATAAAAATACGTTCATCATAAGGCTATGCATATAAAACATGGACTTACAATGCAGTTAAACAGACTAGAAAAAATGCCAGACACATTAAGAGTAGCAATTGTTACTACTGTTTCATAAACGTGAGTCAACAATTCATCTGTTGTACCATGAATCTGATTCACTGGCCTCAGATAGTGAAAATCATCAGATGCTGAGCACTAACAGAAAATGTTGCCATTTCACACTCCTACTCCTGCCAAGGGCTGAATAGTCATGAACAGTTTCCATTTGTGGATATAGATCCCGATGTTCTTAGATCTATTTATTAATTTAAATGATCTTTTGGCAAATGCCATTTATTCTATAACTGGTTTATCTGAATTACAAAATTTTAGTTATGCTACTTAATTGCGGTTCAATGTAATTCCCACAGTTAAACAAGTGTAACTCCTAATCTTGTGGGAATTCTCAAGTCTAAGCAAATTTAAAATTCACAGTCTGTGAGCATTTGACCTTAAATCCACATTGCATACTAGTAAACCTCAAGCACAAGGAAGATGGCATAAAAAGAACATAAAGGGGTTATGAACACAACCAAAGCAAATTCACTTGTATGTTCCAATGAATAACGACAGAACATTTTCCACTTGCTCTCCTTTAATTCCACCTCAACAGCCCGTTTTGTGGTGTACTGATCCAGCTCCGGCGTTCACACGTGTGGCCGTCACTGAGCACCACAGCAGTTGAAATTCCCAGGAAGATTAATCTACCTCAACAGCCTACAAAGCCTTTATAAAAATAAATGGTCTCTGAAATGCACAGCTGAGGATAGCATCAAAATACTGCCTCTTCAGAAGTTACTACATGATACTACAAGATACTAATAATTATTAACTTAAAATGAAATTACCTGCTCTTAAAATAATTTCTTAGCTTTACTTCCAAAACAGAGCTAGGAAACAGATGTAAAATAATAAATCTGCTGGAAAACTATGTTTCTAAGGGGACAAAAACTATTTGTGCATTTAGGTCAAATCTTCTTAGTAGCTTTGGCTGCTTAAAAAAAAAAAAAATACATCATATATTTATTTCAGTGTTTTCAAAACCAAATGCTTTATTTCGGACACACTGAAACATTCTGTTTTGATGTTTTTAAGCAAAATGTGTGATATTTTGCTTTTGTTCGAAGAAAATATTTTTAAAAATTAAGCTAATTTTAAAAGGTAAAAGAATAAAGTAAAAAAAAAAGTGAAGTAGAAAAGAATTAAATAATCTCGAAAAGAAATGAAGTATTATGTAGAACTGCAAACAATTTTTTTCTGGTTGACTATAACAAAGCTATTTACACATTCTACCAAACCTGTTGAAAATTCTTTTTCTCCCACAACTTTGCATTTCTATTCAGTTCAGGCAAAAAAAGATAAAATCTATTATTTTTCCAACTGTTTTGGCATCTTTTTTTCCCAGCTCGGTGTTGGTGCAGCTCAACAACCTTTGCAAAATACAACACATCTTACACTAGAGAGAGCTGCAGCACTGTTGTCAGGAGATATGATATGATATGATATGATCGGATCATCTCTGTGAATACTGAAGAGACAAGAGTCTGGATGGGGAAAAAAGAGCCTTCATGCTGATCATATTAGACTGCCTGACAAAGTCTTTAATTGAGTATGTGCCTCTTTGAATCAGCTTTACTGTATTAGTAATAATGCATAAAACTGAACTCTTAGAAGCAGCCTGGCTATCAGTAACAGACACAGTCGTACTCAGGCTAATGGTAAGTAAGGAAAAATCTTTTAATAGATTTGTAGCAAAAGGAGAGTTATACAATCAAATTCCTACAATTCCTACAATGCTAAAATTCAGATAAAGAACTTCAGTGGACCCGGGGTAATTGTCCATTATTAATCACTGCATATTCGCACTCCCCAAATCCTTCTTTGAACTCCTAGATGCCCTGTCCGTATTGGTATGAGTGTGCTAAGATTGCATTCTTACACTTAGCATAAGCAAAACCACTTTTCCTCACTCCAGTCCAAGCCTGACACGCAGATCCCCTCGGCCCCACTCCAGGCAGTTGCCTGCTGCTCCCACCGAGAAGAGAGCACTACCTTCTCCTCAGTCCTGTTTGATGCGGGAATGGGAAGTGGCACTCCAAGATGGGAGTCTTGAAGGTAATCAGAAGTCAGCATCCACTTAAAAGGTTACAGTATCATGGGAAAATTTGGGCGGAAAAAAGCCTGCAGATCATCTAGCTTATTGCTTTTCTTTCTTCAGCAGTCAGCCTCTTGGTGGTACAGAACATAAACCAAGCTACATGGACAGATGTTCTTTAGATACAGCTGGACCACACGAGGATAACCATCCCCTTGTTCTTCATCAGTTTCCCTCCAGGTTAGAGGTGGAGTAATTTGTGAGTCTGCTGACTAACTTCTTCCATCAATGATCAGTCAGACTTGCTTTTATCAGTTATTAAAACGATTTGATCAAATGTGGCTAATTTTGCCTGAGGTTGATTAGGAAATATGCAGACAAAACATCACTGTGGGAGGAATGGTCAGCTCCAGCAACAGGCTGATAATAGGAGCAGGAACATCTTAAAGACACCGCTACTCACGCAGCAATCATCTGCCCCTTACTGTACTCCTTCTAATACTTCTGGTAGCTTATAAAATAATCATACTTGCAGTAAAAATAACTCTGTTTTCATGCTGAAGCCCTGAATGATGCAAATGCATCCTAGAACACTAGGGGGAAAGTTTTATTTCACTCCTGCTTTTATAGGTACAGGGAAATGCCGAACATTTCAAATTTTAGTACAACAGAGAGGCAATCCTTTTACACCACATACTCAGCAGTCGTGTACAAGCTCCATAACACCTGAATAGGTAGTGAGCCCTTTTTTCTCCCCCCTAAAAATCTTGAGAAAATAGCGTTATGAGAGCCACAGGCTAATTATATTTCTGGTGCATGTGTTTTAATGACAATATTTTTAATGAAACTTACTGGGACAAAACACAGGCCTGTTTAACAACTATGATTTATCCAAGTTCAAGCTGCCAAAAGACTGAAAGATGATAAACCGCTCCAACATGGGGCAGGGGAGGGAAACACAGGCTGCCAGCTCTTAGCTTTGCAGACTATTGCTCCAAATAGTTACAACCAGAAATGACCAGAAGGGACTGTGCCACCGCTGACTCAGTTCCCCACAACAAGCAAAACAGGCATTTTAATCCCAGAACCTGCACTCCACACTTAGCACACCTCAAAGCTACTAAAAATTTCCTAATAATAAAGAAAAATGGCATATCAACTTGTAGTAAAAAAAAAAGAACAAAGTTCTCTATTAACGATCATGCCTTCCAACAGTACATTCCAATTTTATAACAAATAATCTTATAACAATTAGTTAAGCATATAATTTGATAATTTCAGATGACATTGTTACAGGACAACTCAAAATTTAGACTTTGTCTCTTCTGGGAGATGGCTGGAGCCAATAAAGACCATGAGCCAACTGACACGGTAATGAAGCCAACCTGCAAGAAAATCTACAAACTACAGATCTTCCCCTAAAACTTTTTTTTTTCTTTAGATGTCCTGGCTAGAAGAGAAATAATGCTCCACTAATTTGAGGAGTCTTTTTGCCACGGAAAGGCTTCGGTGTAAATCCTGACCCAGCGACAAACACCAACAATTGCATGCACGCACGCCATCAGGGACGGCCACAGCTTTTTTCCAGGTTTGGCTACACAACTCCATATGTTTGCAGGTGTTCTTTCCTGTTTAATAAACACTAGCCATTCCCTTACTGCTTCAAACTCTGAAACTGCAAGAATTAAACTTGCTCCTTCCCCTGACGCCCCAACAGTTTGTTACAGAGGAAGGAAATTTGGGGGACGCCTC